CCGCCGCGCGCTCTCCCTCCGCGTGGCCGTCGCCGCGCCCGCCCGCCTCGTCACCGCCGAGGACGACGGCTCCGGCTCCGGCTCCTCCTCCCGGGCCTCCGCGGGCCAGGACGGCGGCGAGGGCCCCTCCGCGGACGGGTTCGACCCTGGCGCGCCGCCGCCGTTCGGGCTGGCGGACATCCGGGCCGCCATCCCCAAGCACTGCTGGGTCAAGGACCCCTGGCGCTCCATGGGGTACGTGGTGCGCGACGTCGTCGTCGTGCTCGCGCTCGCCGCCGCCGCGGCCCGCCTCGACAGCTGGCTCGCCTGGCCCGTCTACTGGGCCGCCCAGGGCACCATGTTCTGGGCGCTCTTCGTCCTCGGGCACGACTGGTGCGTCGCCTCTCCGGCCTCAGTTTCTCCGTCCTTGAAATTAATTTTTGCTGTCCAGAGGAGCTCACCGTCTCTCTCTTCGTGGGTGGTTGCTGCTGCCGTTCTGCAGCGGCCATGGGAGCTTCTCCAACAACGCCAAGCTCAACAGCGTGGTCGGCCACATCCTCCACTCCTCCATCCTCGTGCCTTACAATGGCTGGTACGCGCGCATCAACACCTTCTCACACCTCGATCCTCTTCTTGCTTATAATGTTGTTACAGTAACTATGAGTGGTGAGTTTATTGCGGCGTCAGTAAAAACTTCTCCTTTCCAATCAAACCTGCAGGAGGATTAGCCACAGGACGCACCACCAGAACCACGGCCACGTCGAGAACGACGAGTCCTGGCATCCGGTACGTGGGCTACATAGATTCCAAGTTGTTGCTGCTTACTTTGCTCATGTTCTTGAGGAATTTGATTGATCCTGTGTGACGGTGTCTTGAGCCAATTGTTGCTGCAAATTGCAGCTCCCAGAGAAGCTGTACAGGAGCCTGGACAGTGCCACTCGGAAGCTTCGGTTCGCGCTGCCGTTCCCGATGCTCGCGTACCCATTCTATTTGGTGAGACCAAACAATCCCGAATGACCTTTGATCCTACTTAATTTTGCTGATTAAATTGCTCACAAAGAAGCATATATGTGGTAAATTTTGATTGCTGACTGTATTTGTTTGTGTTCAACCTGTCCAGTGGTCGAGGAGTCCAGGGAAATCAGGCTCGCATTTCCACCCGAGCAGCGATTTGTTCCAGCCGAATGAGAAGAAGGACATTCTGACGTCGACGACATGCTGGCTTGCCATGGCTGGCCTGCTCGCTGGGCTCACCGTCGTGATGGGGCCTCTTCAGATACTCAAGCTGTACGCTGTACCCTACTGGGTATGTGTGTGTGGTGCCTGCCCTTGTTGCATTTGTAGCCTTAGGTCCTGCGAGAAGTTCTGATTCTTGTGGATAGGTGGATTGGGTTGTGCCCTGTTGTGGGGGTGGCCAGCAGCTTACCAAGTTTCCTTGCTGAATTTTCCTGCAGATTTTTGTTATGTGGCTGGACTTTGTCACCTACCTGCACCACCACGGCCACAACGACAAGCTTCCCTGGTACCGCGGAAAGGTAAAAATATAATCAACGGAGCTACAATCTGTGTAATTGCGAGTTACATCGCGTAACATTGTGCCAAACTAATGCGTTGATTATTATTTCGTCCGCTTAGTGTCTGTTGTTCAGCAGTATAGCTCGGCCCAGTATCTAAAAGCCCTGCTAACAAACGTATACAGTGTAGCTGTGCTGATTGGGTCATAGTGTGAAGTATAATTGCTAATTGAACTAACTCTTTAAGCTGACAGAGTTGACCACAGACCGTATCTGATAAAACTTAGAATTGAACAGTCTGAGTAAACAATAAAGTTGACCTCCTTTACTTGATAAATGAGTTATGTTTGGCAAGCATAAAAGAGGTGAAGTTACTGTATCTTAGTTCTAGTCAAAATAGCAAAGTTACAGAAGTCTGGAAGGATATCAGAAGCCACCTTTTCAGCCTTTCATCATGACAACTGGAAGATAACGTAAGGCATATATCTAGCCACAGAAATCACCAACTGTAGTCCATACGTTTGGCTGCATCTTTCACTGTTCATCTTCTGTATATATCTGTGATGTGTATATGTGTGGTAGTTATTGAAAGTAATACACTTTTTGTGTGGAAAAGACATACTTTACCGCCTTCTGTCACAGGGAAACTGTGAGCATTTCCATTTTCTCCCAAAAAGGGATGCCAGCTTCAGACTGAAAAAAAAAACCAGATTCATGTTTGTCATTGCTCAAATCCTTCAACCATTACTGCTCCTGTATGTGATCACTGAGATATTGTCTGTGTTGCTATGTGAACCAGGCATGGAGCTATCTTCGCGGGGGCCTGACGACGCTTGACAGGGACTACGGGTGGCTCAACAACATCCACCACGACATTGGGACTCACGTGATCCACCATCTTTTCCCGCAGATCCCACATTACCATCTAGTGGAGGCGGTAAGAATCGAATCCCTTGACGTTCCCTGCCTGCCTCGTTATCTTATCATGAGCCTTGCCTAAACAAATCCATGGTCTTGAATGTGCTTGTCTTGCAGACTGAGGCGGCGAAGCCGGTGCTGGGGAAGTACTACAGGGAGCCAGACAAGTCCGGCCCGTTCCCGTTCCACCTGTTTGGCGCGCTGGCACGGAGCATGAAGAGCGACCACTACGTCAGCGACACCGGAGACATAATCTACTACCAAACTGACCCGAAACTCGCCGGCGGTGCACAAGCATCCGATTAACAACATCAAGCATACTCTTTGTGGGGGGTGCTGCTCTCTGCTATCACCTGACCGATTAGCCCTCTGCCGCCTCACCTTGCCAAGTTCCTCAGCATCCGGCAATTCAAGCAGGTGGACGGCGCCGGCATACTGGATTTTTGGTTGTACAATAGGCTTGAAGCCATGGTAGAATAGATTATGTGCTTGTACGAAACAAGTGATTCTTTGGACCAGAGCCACGGCAGCTCTAAAAAGATTGGAAAAACTTGCCTGATCAAGGGGCATTCATTGCTTGATACTACAGCACTGTTATACAATTATAGAGCAGTATTTATGTCAGCCGGTCCATATGCATATACTACTGCTGTGAAGATCTCTGCTTAACTCCAGATATTTGCACTAACATGTGAAACCGAATTTACGCGTGTTGTCGTTGTCGTGAATTTTGTTGCATCTGTCCTAGTGGTTGGTCAGTTGTCCTCTTCAGAATGCAATGTTGGTTCATTGCTGACCACAGGCTGTGGCTGTCTGCCTGCAGATGGGGTCATATGGGATCTGTGATCCTTGAGCTTAGTTCTTGACTTTCTGTGGTCCTCCTTTTCTTCTTCTTAGAATGATCATCAGATTTATGTTGAAAACGCACCATGCTACAGTTGAAAATTCTAGATGAGCTCTGTGTTACCATTGAAGCCGAATTATTGTCGGAAACTCCAGATCTTGTAATGGCGGAGGTGGTGTCACGCCGAATAAAAGTCTCATGTGGTTTTTTCGGCCTCGTCGGTTGTAGATTTTGCGGGTTGTCGTCGGGTGCTTAGGCTTTCTTTGGTGGCGGCAGTTGTGGTGCCGAGTTTGGTTTGGTTGTATGGAATCCTTCTATACTGCTGAATATCATGCATTAAGCAAGCAAAATGAAGATGGAAATCAATGACATTAGTTTTTGCACAGTGTCCTGCAAATTAAGCAATCTAACTCGCACTTCCCAAGACCAACAGGTCGGATGGCTCATACATCTTTTAAAAAAATGTTGATGTTAGTTTCTTCAACGGATGTTTGGACAAGCAACAAGATGCAGAAGTTGGGCCCAGAGGCGAGGCCTACAAATGACGTAATCTCGGATTTTATCAACGACCTTTGTTATCCTTGTGTGTTTTAGTTTCTTATTAACTCCAATATACTTCACTTAATAATAAATAAACAAAATCAGACCATTTTTGAATGCAAAATACAGTGAATACAACCTTCTGTACTATTATCCTTGTATGGTAATGTGATCTTCCTACCAACTAACAAGTAGGGCCGGAATTCCAGAACTAGAAGACATAGAAAAACCATGCACATGTGTTACAAGATCACATATCACAAACAAATTCCGCTGTCAACAATAACACCACGAGTGAGAAGAAAATATTAACAACACTACACATTTATATAAGGTAAATGAGCTAATCCGACCAACTGATCCGTGTGTTGATTCGGCGGGGCACATGAGACCTCGAGCATTGCAATCTCCTTCACATCACAACTGCATTCCTCTCTTGCGCATCGAGAGTCGGCACTCGACACCATCCATGTGACACACCACATCGGCGCTGACATGTGGGACCGCCTTGGCGGATAGGCTACAGAATTTAAAAAGGCAAAACATGGCCCAGGTCTGACAGGAGAGTCTTAGTTAAGCAAGGTAATCCTTGTAAAGTTGCAAAAACAAGAATGGGGGTAAAAACAGAATTAACTCGCAAACAAGTTTAAACGTACTCTCATGTAGGTGTAGTCAATTAAAATATTTTTTTCTATTTCATATGTAAATTTGAAGGGTATATGAAGAATTTTATCAAACATGTTGGTGTATGTATGGTCGGGGGGTGGGGATCCCTCCCGCTCCTTCACTACATTGGCCTAAATCAAATCAAGTCACAGAGAGGTCGAACCTGGCCTTATTTACTATCACGTTCAAGGACATGGGATGGGCGCGGGGAGAGTGCACCCGATGACCGATGTTCTTCTGAACCGAGCGTCGCCAGAAGAACAGGTACACCGCCGATGTTCCTCTTCCTGTTTTGAATTTTATTTTCTTTCCATCTCTGATTCTTTTCACCGGTTTATCCTCGAAACCAACTGAATTGTCCCAAAATATTACCCAAATGATAAGTGCCACACGTGTGCACGAAGGAGTTTGACCCACACATTTTTCCTGCCGCACGTGTGGCATGAAGCAGGCTGTCCCACAGATTGTCTGTCACACATTTTTCCTGCCACACATTTTTCGCGGATTGTCGTCATGTTTTAAATTTTGTAGCCTTTCTGTCAAGGTGACCCATCAGGTTCAGCTCATGTCAACGTACTCATCATCATATACTCGTGCTTAAAAAATGGGGTAGGTAGTCAAAGCATGGGGTTGCGTCTTGCCAAAAGAAATGGAGGGAATAATCAAATCGCTGGCGGCGTGCCCATCAGCTTGCAATTGTTGAATGGAGACCCGATTGCTAGTAGTAATATTCAACATGCTGGAGCTAGTAGTAGTACTCGAGCACAAGTTTGATAAGTACAATTTCTGTGATAAATTTGCTGGGGAAAGCGAATTCCGAGGCTTGGCGCTTTAAAATCAACAAAATCACTGTGTTTTTCAATCCCATTGACCAGGCGGTCTCTCTGACCGTTCATCCTAGAGAGGAACGTGCGTGCCTACCACTTTTTGAAATCGTCTGAACTGAAAACTGAAACTTAAGTTGAACAGTTTTGCTAGAACTCATCTAGATGAGATTTAATTTGGTCTCACTCACCTTTTATAGCCATTGGATGTGGTGCTACAAGATGCGTGTGTGCTGACGTGGGTTGTATCCGTTCTTGTTTTCCAGGTGAATGAGACCAAATTACGTCTCATCTAGATGAGTTCTAGGTACTCCCTAAGTTGAATGGTGGTGTACCGCGGGGTTCGGTGTCGGACCTGCTCCTGCATCAATGCAATGACATTTCTGCATCAATGTGGACTGCCATCCTTGAAACTGAAATCTTGTAATCTCGCAGTAAGGTAACACAATGAGCACACACTCGGCATCTGCGTGACCAGGAATAGCGCGTGGTGCCGGATGGTGCGCGACCTGGATAAACCGTTGGATCTCAACAGCAACTAGCCAGCACGCTTGGCGATTCGACGGCGGCACGAGCAACGCATGGTGCCGCATCACCAGAAAAAACGGATTCAGACGGCGGGACAGAGGCCGGTGGACGTATTTTCAGTTTTTCACGCACGTTCAGGGCAGTGTTCCATGGCTACAACGAAAGGGCAACTCTCTGGCGACGACGCCTTGCCGCTCCTCTCGCGAAATGTACACGTTCCTAGCTCCTCCTACCATTTCCGGTTCATTTAGATGGTACATCCTCGCACTCGGCGTGCCCGCTCGACGACGACTCTGTGATGCTCTGCAGCGCCGGGCGCCAGTGCCGGCTTCTGCCTCCCCCGCGGGCGGCCGCCATGCTCCGGTGGTGCCGGTCCTTCTCCGGCTGCTTCCGTTGCTGATGGTCGGCGGGCTGCCTCTGTTCTGTAGTGGCCGCGTTGTCGCCTCTCGGCCTCGGCGGCTGCCGGCGCCGGTGCAGCCGCGGCCGCTTCTGCTCGATCGCCTCGTCGCAACCGCGCGTCCTCTCCTGCCTCCTCGTCTGCACGGCCTTGGTCACCTCTGCACGCACGCGCCACGGTCGATCGATTGGTTAATCTCCATCTCCATGTAAGAAAGAGAGGGAACCGGACAGGACGCAAAAGAATCCAATCCAAGAACCGTTGGCGGATGCAGGGCACGAACCTTGGGAGGTGATTAGGCGGTAGACCTGGCCGAGGTGGAGCGTGTCCCTCGGCTTGAGGAGCTTCACCTTGGTTATCCTGGCATCTCCTCCTTCTCCGGCGACTGCTGGGTCTGGGTCAACGCCGCCGCCGGCAGAGACGTGATGGAGGAGGACGAGCGCGACGTAGTGGCCGGGGTTCCTGCGCATGACGTCCGCCGCGGTGGCCGGCCAGTGGAGGCGCTCCACCTTGCCGTCGCCCGGGTGCTGGATCACCACGGCCGCCGCGTCCGCCGCCTGGCAGTTCCCCATGTCCGTCGGTGTGAGTTCTCGCGTGCGGACTCTGGATTCTGATGAGACGAGAAGGACGGGGCGTGGTTGGGATTATATGGGGGAGCCGAGACGAGAGGGAGAGGAGTGTGATTAGCGAGGTGGTAAAGGAAGCCATTTTTAATCTGCTTGTGGACGTGCGATGTTGGCTGTTGCGAGGTGATAAAACGAAGGAGTCAACCAACGCTGGTTGATTAGTTAATTAGGGTTCGTAGAAAATTGGCCGGCCGGATGGATGGAACAGAGCATATGTAACCTCTTGTTGGGCAGGCATGTCGTGGGCGCGCCATATGCATGGTGACAATGCTCTGCAGGCCGCGGGCAGTTCTACCAACTGGACTGGACTATGAAAGAGTCGTCACATGTAAACTTATGAACCTTTTATAATAGATTTGTTCTACTAGTTCTTATGAACCTTTTATGATATATTTGTTCCCTTTTTTTTGCAAACCTTTTTTTTTTGCAAAAGAAGGAGATTCCCCGAATAACTCTTGTGTTTATAAATGCTCCACAACTGGCGAGAATTACTACTCCTCTATTCTATCTATAAATATATTGTATATTAGTTTTGTCCCGGTTCAAATTTTGTAACGTCTGACCAAGTTTACCAAAGAAAAAGAAAAACAACAACCAATAGCAAATCACTATTGTTAGATGCATCGTGGAATATATCTTTAGCACCTTATCTATTCCGTATTTTGGGTGTCAATATTCTTTAGCCGAACCTGGTTGGAGTAAACAAAATTTTGATTTCTGACAAAAAGGATGTGTTTTGAATGGCGAGAGTATTCACAAATGATCTCATGCACCATGCTCTCCTCACCATGTGGCGCCATGGCAGGCGAAGACACGGGGTACACGTGTGTGCCACCGCAACGTCAGGGCCGGAGTTGGGCCGTGGGCACCCAGGGCCCAGG